TATTATGACTATTTTCTGTTTCCCTCATAAGAATAAGAGTACCAGGAAGGAAGGAATTTGTGTTTTGTTTACCAATGTATCTTAACCATTGGGAAGAGAGGCTGACACATAGTAGGTGCTCAGTTAATACCCACTGAATTTTAAAAATGTAAAAGTTTATTAGAAATGTGTCTCATGAAATGTCTTTTTGAAAAACCATCTATGAAAAACCAACAGCCAACATCATATTAAATGGTTAAAAACTGAAAACCTTCATGTTAAAATGAGGAACAAAACAAGGATGTCCACTATCACCACTCCTGTTCAATATAGTTCTGGTAACATTAGCCACAGCAATTAGACAAGAGAAAGAAAAGCAATAAAGATAGGAAAGGAAGAGAAACTGTCACTACTTGCTGACAATATGATACTCTACATAGAAGACCCAAAAAACACTGCCAAATGACTTGTAGACTTAATTGACAGATTCAGAAAAGTAGCTGGATACAAGGTAAACACTCAAAAATTAACAGCCTTCTTGTACACAAACAACAGACTGAGAAATTAGGGAAACAATTCCTTTCACAATAGCACCCCAAAAAATGAAATATCTAGGCATTAATCTAACAAAGGAAACAAAAGACCTCTACATTGGGAACTACAACACTCTCAAAAAAAGAGACTGAAGAGGATATAAGAAAATGGAAAGATACCCCGTTTCTGGGTAGGAAGAATCACTGTAGTGTAAATGGCCATACTTCCAAAACTGCTATACAGATTCAATGTAGTTCCTATTGAAATCCCAACAATATATTTAACAGAACTAAAGAAAAAAAAACCCAAATATTCACTTGGAATCAGAAGAGACCTAGAATAGCAAAAGCAAGTCTAGGCAACAGAGACACGCCAGGGGTATCACAAGCCTCACCTGGAAACGATATTACAAAGCCACTGTGCTAAAAACAGCATGGTACTGGCAAAGAAACAAACCCCAGGATCAGTAGAACAGATTAGAAGATGCAGAAACAACTCCAGACATACTCAGCTACAACATCTTTGACAAAGGAGCCAACTATCCTCACTGGAGGAAAGATAGTCTCTTTAGTAAATGGTGTTGGAAAAGTTGGGTTTCAACTTGTAAATGATTAAAACTAGACCCGTTATCTTTCACCATGTACTAAACTAAAATTTAAGTGGATTAAAGATATAATTAGAACAGAAACACTAAACTTGTTGGAAGATAAACCAGGTAGAACTCTTGAAGATATTGGCATAGGAAAAGACTTTATGAACAAATCCACAGTAGCACAGTAACTAGCACAAAGAATCAACAATGAGGATCTCATCTTTTTAAAAGGTTCTTCTCTGCCAGAGAAATCACAAGCAGAGCTAAGAGACAATCTACAATGTGGAAAAAAATTTTACCAGCTGTTCCTCAGACAAAGGTCTACTATCTAAAATATATAAAGAACTCAAAAAAATCATACACACACCCCAAATATATAAACCCAATCCAAAAATGGATACCCCAAATGAAAAGACATTTCTCAGACAAACAAGTAAAAGCAGAAAATAAACATATGAAAAAATGTTTAACATCACTGTAATTTGAGAGATGCAGATGAAAACACTGAGATTCCAGCTCACCCCAGAAAGAACGGCTGCTGTCATGAAATCAACCAATAACTTTAATGCTGGTTGTGGGGAGATAGGAACCCTGCATTGTTTCTGGGAGTGCAGACTGGTGCAACCACTGTGGAAATCAATATGAAGATACCTCAAACAGGTAGGGTTAGAAGCCCCATTTGACCCAGCTATTCCTCTGCTGGGTATCTTCCCAAAGAATTAAAAGAATCATACCACAGTGATATATGCACACCCATATATATATAACAGCAGTCTGTAATAGCGAAAACTTAGAAAACGGCCCAATTGCCCATCAACTGGGGACTAGATAAAAAAAGATGGTTTATTTTGTTTTTGTTATAAAATGGAGTACTACTCAGACATAAACAAACGAGAAACTAGAGACATTTATAGCTACGTGAATGCATATTGAAGCCATACTCTTAGGTGAAATTAGTAGGTCACACATGTGTAAATACCGAATAGTTTCTCTGGTGTGAAAAACTAAAAGTATCAATAAGGATCAAAATGTATAATTGATATTTTGTAATACGTAGAAAAAGTATGAAAGAGTAGAGAAAGTGGGAGGGGCAGGGGAAAGATAAAAAGAAAAATATACGAAAAAGAAAAACATGGAAACAATGTAAACAGGGAAGGGTGGAGTGGCTGATGGGAGGGCTGGGGAATGGGGAAAAATAACAACCAAGATAAGTCATGTAAAGGTACAAGATTCCAATGATGAATGTAACTATTGTATACCTAAAATGTACTAATAAACTCAAAAGGTAAAAAAATGTAAATGATATATTATGGCTAAAAACTGTTAACTACTGGAATGAGAAATAGTTCAAAGGAAATCAAAAGCAAAAAGGTTATTAAGTATGGGACTTAAATATTATTTGTGTGCATTATTTACATGATATTAACAATACAGATTTTAGAATCTATAATTTATTCCACATGGTAGGGATAAATAGGAAACAAAGAAGTAATTAAAAATTCATATTAAGCAGTAAATTTCCAAAGTTTTTAAAAAAGGGATTTAAACATTCTACTAGCTTTTTGGCTAAGTCAATAAAAACATTTCTCCTAATAATCATGAAAAAGTTTTATTTAAAGATGCAATCTTGATCCTGTTGAAAGTTAACACTGAAGCTTTCTCTTATTTAAAATCATGAAAAATATAAGATGGACGTTCGAATCACTGAATAGGCTTTTGGAGATTGTATCAAACTGTTCCTTTACTTAATAGTCCTAGAAATTTTCCTATACTATGGGCAAATGTACCACAAGATTAGAACAGGTGAAAAAATAAACTTTTCTTCTGCAGAGAGGAAGAAGAAAATTGTAAAAGAGCAGCTAAAATCTGGGACCTATAAACCCCTACCTTGACTTTAGGGAACTCAATGTGAGCAGAAAGTACACATTTGCATAGAGAAATTTTAAAGTCAGTTCCTTAAATTAGATTACCAATGCCTTGAAACTGAAACACACAGAAAGGCTTTGGGAAACTCATTATGACATTCTGTGAGGCACTGGTTTAAAAAATATTTTACTGTGTTGTACAGAATGTGTTAAATCAACAGTATTATTTGCATTTCTTGGTCTAGAATAAACAAGCATATTGAAAGAGAATTGTATACATATACAGAAAAGAGGGTCAGGAATTTAGCTCAGTGGTGCCGCCACCTGTCTTGCAAGCGCAAGGACCTGAGTTTGATCCCAGGTACAAAAAAAAAAGAGAAATTGAATTGCTTTTAAAAACAGAAATTCAAGTCACTTTGTAGGACTTACAAAATTGTCTTTGCAAGTTATCTATCTTTGTTTTACCTAAACTGAGATCCATGAACAGTAATGGCCAAGCTTACTCACAAATTCACCACGTACATAGCTGAACTTCAGTTTCTTACTCCTGAATCCCCATTCTCTGCACTCCAGAGGACTGCTTTAACACTGCCAGCACAGTCCATCAGAAACGCAAAGATCTCAGCTAAAGGAGATCCTGGAATTTATCACAACCCCTCCTACAACTAACTGCATTAAAAGTGTAGTTTTACTCTAAAAGATTTTTGTGCTAAAATTACAAAGGTATCTTTTTAAAAAAGTAAACAATTTATAAAACTTACCATTATATAAAAATCTAAATAACAAGCAACACTCCATCATTTAAAGTAAACTGAACTTTACAAAGCTGTATCATAAATAAAGAACAATGTCTATGTATATGGATTAATTTTTATCATTATACTACACTATACAGACAAATTCAGGACTTTCCGAATGTTATAATACCAACACTCTGGATTTAATCTTAGATTATGTTTTAATTATCACCAAACACCAAAACAGATCAGAATTTTAGTGACTTCCTCCCATACTACAGTACAGAATACTGACATACCAAATTGGTTTCATTTGAGTCACCTACAGGTAACCAGAAAGTAACCTAAATGCGGAAGCAGGCTAGCTGTAAAAAATAAAGTAATGAAAACACGCTGTTATGAAGGCAATCTCTTTTTAATGCTAAAAGCCAAACAAAACATATCTGGGGCCAAATCTAATCAAACCTACTAGGGTTAAATTTTGCAACTTTGTCAGATTTCAAAATATATTCAATAGATTGAAATTCAGTATTTATCAAGTGCCCATTAGGTGCAGAGTACATATAATTAGAATAAAACATTGACTATTATGTGTTATTTCTGATGCAATCAAGTACATTTTGTATAAAGCTGTCTCACACTTTACATGCAGTTTCACCGGAGATTATAACTATACAACAGTCCCCCTCTTATCCACAGGGAATATGTTACATGACTCCCAGTGCATGCCTCAAACTGTAGATAGTACCAAACCCTATATGTACATTTTTTCTTATGCTTATATCACTGATAAAGTTAGCAATGATAATTAGAACAATTTAACAATGCAATTATGCATCAGATATTCTTATCAATGATAGACTACATACAACAGTAGCTTCACAAGACTGTAATAGATCTGAAAAACTCTTATTGCCTAGTGATACTGTGTTCATCATAACGTCAAGGCATTATACAGTGCTCATGTTTGTGATGATACTAGTGCAAATATACTGTACTGCCCCAGTCATAAAAAAAAAAAAAAAACAGCTATGTACAGCACATAATACTTGAAAATGGAGTTGGGGATGGAGTTCAGTGGTAAAGCACTTGTCTGCCATGTTTAAGGCCCTGGGTTCCATCCCTAAAACTGCAAGCAAAATAAAATAAAAAGCTCAAAAACTTGATAATAGTAAGAATAAAAATCATCTACATACAGGCTGGGGATTTAGCTCACAAGCACAAGGTCCTGAGTTTGATCCCCAGTTCTACACACACACAAAAATAACTCTTTTAAAAACTGTGCACTGGTTGATATATTTATTACAGTATACTTTTATCATTAGAGTATTATCCTACTTATAAAAGATTTACTGCAAAACAGTATGCTGTGTTATGACAGCAGGCGTCTCATATACCTTGTGTTTGTGCTCTTTATTACATCAAGAGGCTGGCAAATGATTAGCTCATACCATCGACATTTGTGAAGGAAGCTCCATGGTATTTGTACAACAATGAAAGAGCCCAGTGATAGATTTTCTAAAATGTATCCCTGCTGTTATGCAATGTGCAACTATATAATGTGTGAATGCGGACTAGGAATCTTACTGCAGCTACTCACCCTTCTTGTAGTGACGTGAGATACTTAAAGGTATCTCTTCACAGCTTCTTTGACATATCTGAGTTGCCAGCACCACTACTCATGCACACTTGGGGCCATTATTAAGTAAAATATGAGTAGTTTGAATCCACCACTGCTGTACTACAACAGTTGATCTGAAAACGACAACAGGTACTTAGACATTAATGGATAAGTGGTTTGTACAATATGGATGACATTGGAAAAAGATGACCCACATTCCAAATGAGACAAAATGCAAGGTGTGAGATGTCATCATGCACTCAGAATGGAGTGCCATTTAAAACTTATGAATTAATTCTATGTGGAATTTTCCATTTAATATTTTCAGACCACAGTTGATTCTAGGTCAATAAAACATCAGAAAACCAAACTGTGGATAAGAAGACTGCTGTACACAAATTATAAATCAAATCTCTTATGTGTGACTTTTTATATAAAAAAGGAAAACAACCATTTACTTCAAGTAAAAAGAATATTTTATTCAATATTTTAATATTGAAGTCAGCTATCATACATATCCATCAACTCTTACTGTCTGTATCCAGCAGATATTCAAAGTAAGATTAAATGCAGCATGCTTAGCAAATCTAGAACATCATAGTCCACCTTCTAATTTACTTGGGTCCTTTAATAAGACACTTATTTATTGTGTTATACTATGTATGAAATAAATTAGTGCAATACATTACTGAGGTATCATTTAACAGGTAAATACCCTATATATTTGGATTTGTCATCCCAATTCCTTGGCACTCAATAATGTAAGTGTCTTTAGAAGCATCTTCTTCATCTTCTGATTTCTTCACAGTGAATTTAGCCTGAAACCAGAAGAATATTTAATATATAAATAATAAGAAGAGGATAGAGGGAAGAGCCCTGAACTCCTACTTAAGTAGGCAGAGAGTACCAAACACATTTGTTGAAGAAGCTAGAGACACAAAAACCAAATGATCTGTGGAAAATCCAAGAGCCTAGAGATAACATTTACTCCCAGAACCATGGTTCTTGTCCTGAGGTATCCATTCTTGTGGAGTTCTGTCAGAATAAATATGCCTAGATCCCACTCCATACCTACTGATTCAGAAGCCCCAGGAGAGCAGTCAAGGCACCTTCAGTTTTGAAATCTTAACTTTTTGGTTTAAGACACTTCTCTCTTTTCCCTAAAATTTGTCTCAAATATAGAACTGAAACATCTAACTTTTTTTTGCCAAGTATAAAATTATCATTAAAAATGTCACTAATTTTTTCTCACCAATTTAATTCCCTAAATATATCATTCAAATAGACCTAGTTCAGAGATGGGAGGAAGGCAGTGTGAGAGTGTGACAAACATCTTTTTTGGGTTTTTGTTTTGTTTTGTTTTGTTTTTAAAACAGGCTCTCCCTTTGTGGTTCAGGCTGGTCTTGAACTCACAGCAATCCTCCTGCCTCTGCCTCCCAAGTATTGGGAATATAGGCATGTATCACCATGCCCAGCTGTGAAACATTTAATAAAACTGAATTAAAATAAAAACAATTATGTAGGCTATTGTGGCAAAGGGATTTCAAGTTTGATTAAAATCTGACAATTCTTTGAATTTAAAAACAGTCACTGCGGGGCCATACTGCAATAGTAACATTCACAAATTCTTTTCATTTCAGTATTTTGTGACAGTATACTGACACACAGTGGACATCTGAAATTACTATGGAATAAACACTGAACACTGCGCTAGATAAGCAGTTTTTATGTAGCTATAACATGCGTGTTCATTTTTCCCCCCAACTTACAAACCTTATGAAACACAAGTAACAACCACAGACATCATTTCTAGCCTACATTTAAATCTACTTAAGGAGCCTTAAGAAACAGACTAACTCAAGTATGATTTTACAGATGAGCTATCTGCACTGAGGCACAGAAAGATAAAAACTTCAAATGACATGAAAGTGTCTACCACAGTATATGCAAAGTCCTATAAAAAGTGAAGACCATAATGAATAAAACTTGCTCCTTGCTATCAGGAGACAGACAAGTAGTTGTTATAAATACAGGATAAGTAGAATTTAAAAATCGTTAACCTTCTTGTCATCAGCCTTTTCCTACAGTTTAACTAAAACCTATCTATTCTTTATGGTAGCAAATAATCTTAATATTAACAATCATACCAAAAGGAAGCCGGGGATTTAGCTTAGTGGTTCCGCTGCCTGCCTCACAAGCACAAGGTCCTGAGTTCAATCTCCAGTACAAAAAAAAAAAACAAAACCCACACGTTACTTACTACATTTTGGACTGGGGATTTAGTTCAGTGGTTCCACCTCCTGCCTTGCAAGCACAAGGACCTGAGTTTGATCCCCGGTACCAAAAAAAACAAAACAAAACAAAACAACACCAAAAGGAACAGTAGGGTAATGGTTTCGTGCTTAGTACACATCTGTCATGCTTAACTCCCCTTTTTTTGCCAGTGTATAGAACTTGTAAATTTTGGTTGTTATTGTTCTGGGTATTGAACTCAGGACCTTGTGCTAGAGAGGCAGGCAGTGGAATCAGAGCTAAATCCCAGCCCAGTACTTGTAAATCTTTAAAATGCTTCAAGACCTTCCTACCTAAAATTGAGTCACAAATTTTATATTACTTTACAATAATATATGACAAAGAATATACCAAAACAAAAATACGCTGTATGTTACAGAGAAAGGCAAAAAGTGGAGCTATACATACTGTTTAAAATGGAGATAATTTAAATAGAAAATATTTAAATATAACTGGTTTTACTGGCAAGGGAAAATTATTGTGTATTTTCTATAAAGAAATTAGTATTTGTTTCATGACGACATCAATCTTTTTTTAAAATTAAGATTCTCAGGCCGGGGATGTAGTTCATCTTACTGCACCTGCCTGGCAAGCGCAAGGTCCTGAGTTTGATCCCTGGTAACCCTCCCAAAACAAACAACAATAAAATTAAGATTCTCATCAAAAAGGTATAATTACAATTTATATTAAAATTGTAAATCGGCACTTCTAAATTTAAGAGGATTACTTTAAATTCCATATAAATGTTTAAGTTTATAGCCAACTATGAATCTTTTTTGACAACACCGTTTCTATCTCTTTAGTACCACAGGGATTTTAAAGTGGGCCTTGCAACATGCTTTCCTCGGTTTGCTCAAAGCCCAGCTCTGACACTAAGAAATGTCATGGGCTCGAACAATTTAACTGCCCTAATTTACTTACATATAAAATGGGAATAATAACAAACAGCCGTCTACAATGCTTATGGAGAATAAGATGCTTCCGATGAGCAGACTGCTGAGTTAGCCACATGTCTGCCACAAGCAAGTACTACTATGTAGCAGCGGTTACAATCATTACTGAATTCCCTGCTTATGAAAATATGTTGTTGTTGTTGTTGTTGGTTTTTTTTTTGGTTTTTTGAGACAGGGTCTCACTATGTAGTTGAGATTGACCTGGAACTCACTATGTAGCTCAGGCTGGTCTCGAACTCACAGTGATCCTCCTGTCTCAGCCTCCCGAGTGCTGGGATTAAAGATGTGCGCCACCACACCTGGCTTGCTTATGAAAATATGACCCATTTACTCCTAATAGAATACTCACCTTTGCTAGTTGCTCAGCAAAATGAATAGCTGTTTGTGTATGGAGTGTAACTGGTCCTGTTTTTATTCTGGAAACTCCATTGGCTAATGCCATGAAAACAATCAGCTATTGAAAAAAGAACAAAGAGGAAAATTCTCACACATTTACTAACATTTAGATTATAATTCTTCTGTTGTCCATAATGAAAATACAAATCAAAACAACTAAAGAATGATTTCTATTTCTTTAGGTTTCTAAAAGTTCTTAGATGACAGAAAATCTGTTACCAAAACCAGGGGTGTGCAACAGAAATGCTTAGCAGTGGATCTCAATACAGAATTGGGGGAGAGGGAGCAGTTCACTAAGGATTCAACCTACAGCCTTTGCACTGAATCCTTTCCCATCCTCTTTAAAAATTCTTTTTATTTTTATTTTGAGACAGGTTCTCACTAAATCCCTAAGTTGCCTAGATGGGACTTGAACTTGCAATCCTCTTGTGTCTCAGAGTGCTGGGATTACATGCCTATGTCAACACACACACCTTAATGTCAAAATTTTAAAATTAATGTTTAAGAATAAAATATGGGGTCGGGGATTTAGCTCAGTGGTTCCACAACCTGCCTCTCAAGCACAAGGTCCCGAGTTCAATCCCCTGTACCAAAAAATAAAATAAAATAAAATATGGAGTTGAAAGTTGATATATAGTTAGAGTAACTATCTCTGCAAGCTGGTATATAAAATATGACAAGTTTCTCCTACTCTTTAAAATTATATTTAAAATTATATTTTATTGGGAATAAACAGACTCATACAGAATTACTGGGATAAAGAATAGAATTGGGAAAGACGGAAATAACTAGACATATGGAAAATGTTAAAAGAAAATGGTTAAGAAATCTTGAATAAATTTCCTGCTGAAATAAACCCAGGCCTCATGCATCTTAGGCAAGAAAGAGCTCTACCATGGAGCTGCACCCCTAGACCAAAGAATACATTTCTGAATATAGACTGCTGATTTATTTGAGAGTAAGGAAAGTTACTGTAGAAATGAAAATATATAAAGACAGTGAACAAAAAGATCTTATATAGAAATATTCAATAGTACTTCTCAATGTGAGGAGTGGATGAGATATGCATGGGATATAAGGAATAAGGAATTAAGAAGAAAGAGGGAAGGCCTGAGCAGGGATCCAAATTTAGGAGCTGTCAGCATACAGATGGTATTAAAGCCATGAGACTGGAGTGAATAAATAAGGGAGGGAAACAGATAAAGGAAAGAGGCATGAGCCTGAGCTTCTAAATTTCCCCCAAAATTTAGAAGTTGAGAAGGCAACAATGATTTAGCAAAGGAGACAGGACAAAGGAGGCCCATTAAGTGGAAAGATAACATTATTTCAGACCTAGTGAGGCCAGAATTTGAAGAATAAAGTAACCGTGCCAAATGCTATAAATAGGTCAAGTAAGATGCACACAGAAATGTGAGGACAAATCCCAAGAGGATACTTTAAAAATGATGTAAGTAAGATTTGCTAATCAGTGTCTGAAGGCCAGTACAGTAAGTCCTAGACTTAGAAACATTTGAGAAGTTGCACAGGTGTAGTGTATGAGACTCACACTGTTGGCTTACAAACGAATCCAACTTATGAACAATTCTCACAGAATGGAACTCATTCATAAGTGTAGGACTTACTGTAACTAAATTTATACTCAATCCAACACAAGCTGGAAGGATTTTATCCTGAAAATGTCATTACCTGGTCTTGCAGATACTCGTCCACAGTACCACCATGTCTAAGATTGGCTAATAGCATTTCAGCAGCTTCAATGGCGACCTTGTCTGCATTGACACCTAAAATAGGCATAATGAAAAGGAAAAGAAAGAAAGAAAAACCTAAGTTAATTACTGAGAGGCAAAAGGTTGAATTAAGAAATCCCAGTTAGCACTGGTATAATATTTTTTTAGGTCTCTGAACTCACAAGATGCACCTTTTAGGATAAGATCTTCAGTTATTTAATCTTGCCAAATAGCTGAAGGCTTGGCATGTACAAATACTTTCTATCTTTACACTAGTTAAAAAAAAAAGAGATAGGCTGCTTTGGCTTATTTTAAAAGTACTAATATAAAACCAGTTTAAAACTAAGTTATGAGCTTATAATGGTATACCTTGATTTCAAATTTTAAAATTCCAGATTATGCAAGTTATAACTACTCTAAGGTATCAGAATTAAAGGATTTTCAAAAGTCAGAGAATTAAGTTTCATCTAAAGAAAAGCTAATAACACTCTCAGGTCAACTATTTCAAGGTTTTAGTCCCTTTAAGACTTGAATGATATACATCAGAATATTCACCCCTTCCTCTACTTCCTACCTCGTCACACATGCCCCATGTTTGACACAACATTGAGTATAAAATTAGCCTATCAGGCACCAGGGATTTAGCTCAGTGGTGCTGCGCCTGCCTCACAACTCCAAAGTCCTGAGTTCAAACCCCAGTACCAGGGGTGGGGGTGGGGGGCAACTGGCAAAGCTAGTTGCTTGGACATAATATAAGCAACTCATAGCAACTGTTACAAAATTAACTCTAAATTCAACATTACATAATCTAATTCAACATTACATAAATTGAGAAACATAACTAAAATAAGACTATTGGAATATAGTAATATATTTCTCCAAAGATATAATATAATTCTATAATATATAATATTATAATTCTCCAATATAGTAATATAATTCTCCAAATTACTCTCAGGTCATTCTTTGCTACAAATGAAAATGTCTTTTAAAAATTAAAAATGTTTCTATGTATATTTTACATTTGCAAATTTACTTAAACTCTATTTTTACAGCAGATAAAATAATAAAGTTCTTTCATTACCAACTGGTCAAAAATTTATATGACTAAACAGTTTGAAGTATGTTATATTACAGAAATCAATCTCCTCCCTCCCCCCACTTATGCTGGGGATAGAAGCTTCGGCCTTGCATAAACATAAGCACATGTATATTTTATTATTGAGCTGCATGTGTTCTACCAGAGCTACGTGAGCTGCACTCCCAGCCCCTACCATTCTTAAATAAGCTATTTAGCCTCTTCCATTTCCTCTTTTAGATGGAGATGACTGTACTGCAAAGTTGTTATGAAAATAGAGACAGTATTTATAAAGCATCTGTTTCCAAGATCAGTACATAATAAGCTATTAATAATCATGGTAGTATTGACTACTCAATACTACTTGTTCTTTTACTAAGGAAACATAAAAGATACTCACGTTTCACTGAAAAATAAGATCTAACTGGAAAAAAAGCCAGCTCAATCAGTCTATCCCTGTCTTACCTGGCACTTCAGAAGAGCAACCAAGAGAGAATAGTAAGGTCTGTATAATCTTCTGACTTACACTGGCCATCGCCATCGTGAGACCCGCTAGGGCTGGTTCTGGTTAGACTGATACAGTTAGGTCTCATTTTTGGGGCAACACATTAGTCAGGTATTAGAGAATTACAGGATAGTTAAGTGCTAAGCTCTATGGTATAAATCATATACACAACAGGAGCTTAGAGAAAGAGAAGAGGTTGTAAGTTCTAGAATAATTTCAGGAGACTTTATACAGCATGAAGGATTTAAGCAGGTTCTTGAAAGATGGCTAAAATTTGGGTGAAGGCTGTGAAAAAAAGTCCTGGCTTTATAATACAGGTTAAGCATCCTTAATCTGAAAATCTGAAATCCAAAATGCTCCAAAATTTCAAACTTTTTGAAGATGGACATTAAGATCAAAAGTGTAAACTTCACACCATGAAACTGTTTCACCCACAAAATTATTTAAAATATTGTATAAAATCATCTTTAGGTTATGTGTATGAGATGTGTATGAAACAAGTTAATTTCATGTTTAGACTTAGGTTCACCTGTAAGACATCTCACTATGTATATGTAAATGTTACAAAATCGAAATAAATTTAAAAAATCAAGACTGGGGATTTAGCTCAGTGGCACCATGCCGGCCTCGCAAGTGTAACGTTGTGACTTTGATCTCTGGTTCCAAACATTTCTTATATTTAAGATATTCAAGCTGGATCAAGAGCCTAATGAACACTAAAGATTTCTGCCAAGAGGCAAAATATTTCCTTCCTATCCAATCTAATAGCAAATAAAGAAATAAATGGATCTACATTATGACCAGTTATTAATACTAGCAGCTCATGGCAGCTGAACAGATAAAGAAAATATGAGAATTTTGCTTATTAGTATAATGCAACATGCTATCTTCCAACCAACCAAGCCACAAACCTAGCTCTATATTGTGTTTACAATGCAATTACATAGGTTGGAACAGATCCTATATAATCATGATCCAATCTTATTTTCAGTTAAGAAAATCCCAGAGTATGTAGGATAATTTAGAGACAGAGGACTAAAATTTAAGTCTTGCTTTTAGTTTTATTTTATATTACAACATACTGCCTCAATTTAACACTTCAAGATCTAAACAAAATGTCATCATTTTTATGGAGTTAAAGAATGTTACAGCTGCAAAGCTGGGTGTAGTGGCATAGGTTTGTAGTCCCAGAACTCAAGAGGCTGAGGCAGGGGGATCTCTCAGAGTTCCTGGACAGCCTGGGCTACATAGTGAGTTCAAAGCCAGCCTGAACAATACAGTGAGAACCCCACACACACACACACACACACACACACACACACACACCTACAGCTGGAAGAATTTTAGGGATACTCCAGGCTATTTTTCTATTCAAAATAGTTTTAGTAACTAAGACAATAAGAAAAACATGACTAGTTACAACCTTGTGCCTCTACTACATATGTTGTCAGTAACAAACAGTTTACATTGCTTCTGGTAAAAACTCTTAGTTAAACATTAGGATTCAGTGTTGGTCCCTCCCCAGTTAATTTAAATCAGAAATGAGAGAGGACATGGATAATGGAGATGATGACATTATCTCTGAGATCCTTAATTACAGACAACCTAAATTAAGAGAGCAGTCCCCAGGTCGCCTTTGCATTTGCTAATGATATCTCACTTGGCTGATGTGCCTGACAGGAAATGAGAGGGTACCAGGAGAATTCAGTAATCCCAGCAAGTCTGTTGCTTTTTCTATCATCACTCTAAAAATAAACAATATGTACTCCTCAAGTGTTCTATCCCAAAACAATTTCAAAGTAAAAGTTTTCTCACAAAGTGAGAAAAATATTGATAGACTATCAGAAATTTTTTCAGGACTGCTCAACAAATTCCATGTAATAAGATAACAGAGTGGGCTGGGGATTTAGCACAAAGTCCTGAATTTATTCCTCGGGACCCCCCTCTCCAAAAAGTTAACAGAGTCAATGCAACATAGCTAAAATTATCATCTACCCTGGCAAACTACCTTCTTTTTTCACAAGTTGTAAATGTATCCAGGACTAAGTTAGACACCTAGAAGGTCATTCTTCACACTTCTTCCCTCACCACCCACATCCAATGGTTACTGTCTATTCACCTTTCTAAATAAACTACTATGAGTCAGTACTCACTTCTCTAGCTACAGTCACATTCTTTGACCCATACCTTTCCCCTTTGGGGCTGAATTGTAATAGACTTTGGTCTTCTACCTCCAGCATGGCTTTCGGTATGAGAATTGATTTTCCAAAAATCTCTTATCCCTCCTTACATCTTTTACATTCTCAGGATGAAACAGAAAACTTCTTTTCACATGCCAATAGCCTTTCACAATCCGGCCTTTGTTGATCTCTATTCTCATCATTCTCCATCAGCCCAGCCCGACCCTGTGCTTAGGTGTGCTTGCAGTCACCTAAACACAGAAACTTCTTTTGTCACCATTTTCCTTTGTCTCTGCTCCTCCTTAGTTCTCACTTAACAAAACAAAACTGTACTTTTAGGATATAAATACTAAGAACACATATATAAGTGAAACAAGTTAAGATCTCCATTATCTCAGTTACTCAATATTCTTCCTGTAAAAAAACAACTATAATCTACTCATTCAGCAAAAATCCTGACTATAATAAGCCACAGGTTATATTTTCCTGTTGTACACTGGACCTCTGAGTATGCATCTGCTAGTTTGCATCCTTTAACTCACATCTACCCATTTGCTTCTCCCTTCAACCCAACCCTGACAACCACTTTTAAGTTCTTTGTATATTTGACCTTTTCTTTTTTAATAGTCTACACATGAGATTGAACAATATTTTTCTGTGTCTTATTTCATTTAGCAGTATGTTCACTATGACCATGTTGTGCCGACAAGACTTCCTTTTTTAAGGCTCAATAATATTTTAATATGTCTGTATACCACAGTTTCTTTATCCATTTGCTACTGGACACCTACCTGTTTCAATATTTTGCCGATTATGAAAAATAGTGACAACACAAGTGCAGATATCTTTATGAGGTTATTCGATTTCCTTTGGGATTAGGAAGAGGGATTGCTGGGTCAAATGTCAATTGTATTTTTAGTTTATTTAGGAACCTCCATACTATCTTTCATAATGGCTGTACAAATTTCCCTTTACTCTCATTTTTTTTTGTCTGGCTGACTTCTATTTATCCATCACTGAACAGCAGAAGCCAGATTTGGAGCTCATCAGCCCCTAAAGAAGGATTCTTTCTCTGTGTTCCTAGGGTTCCACAGGGATACTGTGTCAGACTAAGATAGGAATTAGGAACAGTAGGGCTCGTTTCTGAATTCCTAGGACAGTGTCTGGTACATCATGGTGCCCAATTACAAGACAAACCGAACTCATTTTTCCCACTGCATAGCAAGTTTTTATTACTTACAACAAGTCTGTTCAGTCTCTGCTTTACATTGCATCATCTTTGCTTCTCAAGACTTAACAGACACTGTAGGCAGTGACTCAATATCCATACCAATCTTTTACTGCACCTAGTATGGAATTAATACATACTAAACATACACTTTAGATCACTACTTCTCAAACTTCGATATACTTTCCAAATCCCTGGAGAACTTGCTAAAAGATTCCCAGGTCTCAACCATATTCTTTTTTTTTTGTCAGTGCTGGGGATCAAACCCAGGCCCTTGGTACATAGTAGGCAAATGCTCTATCACTGAGCTAAGCCACTGAAAATTAACAATAGGTCTAGGATAGATCCCAAAATTTGTATTTCTAAAAAAAACTCAGGTGATACCAACATACTGCCTATCTACCAGCCACACAAAAGAGTTTTAAACAGAATTCATTAATATGAGGTCAACTAGAGATGTTAATTGTACTTATTCTATCACATTGATTATACTTGATGCCCAACTAGTATCTAGACCTAAACACTGAGTAAACTAAAATGATATGCTTTTATATTCAGTGGTAATAAAGAGATTAAACAACACAGCTATCATAAGCATTTTTGAAGATGCTAGTACAAAGTACAAAGAACCAGCTACCACAAACAACTAGAAGTTGCCTGACTGGCAAAAGTAACTGTAAATATTAACAGATGCATGGAATTATTTCTTCTCCTTAAAATGCCAAATCTTGAACAAGTTTCTCTTTCCCAAAAAATAGTCAGTATTTTCTAATAACCACTGTAATTAAGTACAACAGGAAACAATCACAGTAACTGTTAAAACCACTGGATGTGGCTGGGCGCAGTGGCACACTCCTGTAATCCCAGCACTCGGAAGGCTGAGGCAGGAGGATCACTGTGAGTTCAAGATCAGCTTGGGCTACATAGTGAGTTCTAGGTCAGTCTCAACTACATAGCGAGATCCTGTCTCAAAAAACAAAACAAAACAAAATAAACAAACAAAAAAAAACACTGGATATGAATTGTATGAAAAGAGGATAATCAGAATGTCTTAAGATAGTATCCCACACTACTGAATTACAAAGGGAAAAGGAACGTATACAGAGCAAACAGATCTAGATGACACCTCCCTTACCCATGCAATCAGCCTTTCCAATAAAGGACAAACTGACTAAAATACACGTCCCTTGATGCAGTGCAGGGACATGTACACAAAATCACCCACACAATATTCTTACTAAAAATGTTTAATGAGAATAATTCAATTATGAGGTAATCAGACAATTCCAAATTGCGGGAAATTCTGTGAGAAAATGGCCTGGAGTTTTTAAAATGTCAGTTATACCATGAAGGTGCGGGAGAGGATAGTCTGTATTAAAAGATAGACTAGGGCTGGGGATTTAGCTCAGTGGTGCTGCACCAGCCTTGCAAGCACAAGGTCCTGAGTTTGATCCCCAGTGCCAAAAAAAAAAAAAAAAAAAGACAAGACTAAATAGCCATGACAATCAAATGCTTTGTGTGCTCAGAAAAACAAAAACAAAAAATAGGCATGGTTTTTACCCCAGCATTTGGGTGGCCAAGGCACGGGAATCATGAGTTCAAGGCCAGCACAGGCTAGATCCTGACTCAAAAACCAGAAACCAAACTGACTCACCACCATCACCACCCCAGCCCAAAATCCCCACATGGCTCTAAACACTATTTTGGAGACAGCTTGATAAGTCCAAATACGCTGGGGTAACAACATATAACAGACAAATTCTTCAGGTATAAAACAGTAGTGTGACTGCAGGTACCACTCTTTGGACATACATATATGCTGCAGTACTTAGGTGAGTAACAGTGCCTGCAACTTACACTGAAATGATTCAGAAATATAAACAGTATGTAGCCAAATGTTCAAGACTGATGAATCCAGGAGATGTGTTTGATAATTAGTTGAAGCAGGCATTCAACTTTTCTATAGGTGCAAAAATTTTCAAAGTATAAAGTTAGAGGACTTGAAAGTTTAATTGACTCAAAAAGAGAATTAGGTAACTATATCCTTTTGAACCTGTCATCCAGCATTCTCTATAAAACAACAATTCTGATAATTAAAGAACTTTACAGCAGCACCGGAAATCACAGCCTCCTTTCATTTATGTATACCTCGTTTACCAAGCGATGATCCAGCAAACAAGCAGCCAGTAGATGTCTCAGCAATAATGCTATAAAAGAGAAAAAAATTACTACTTATGCTTACAAGTATCATAAAACTACATGCAAATACCACACAGGAGAACAGTGATTATTAAACAGTAAAACTACACCTGACCAGTATATTTTAATATTGAAAATCTTCTAACATAGTGTGTTATGGTTCAATCTAGAATGTCCTCCACAAGGCTTATTTTTTGAAAACTGAGGCTTTTGAAAGGTGACTGGATCCTGAATGCACTCTTGGAAAAGGTGTACCCTGCCCTTGGAGGGTTTATCTCCCTCTTAAACTTGTCCCTTCTCCCTCTACTCCCTGACTGCTATGAGGTGAATAGTTTTTCTCTCCCATGCCCTCCCATCGTGCTGTTTCTGTCTTGGATACAGGAGACCACAGACTAAACCCCAAAACCATGAGTCAAATTAAACCTTCCCTCCTTTAAGGTGTGGATGTCAGGTTATTCTGTCCAAGGACAGAAAAGCTCACTAATAAGTAATATGTTTAACATCCTCCATCAGCCTTACAGGCTATTAGTATCTTTCAGCAGATACTAATCAGAAGAAGTTATATGAGATTCGAATCTACTTACAGGTAAAGAAGCTGCTATCCTTTCCACCCCAAGTTACTGGGTCATCATACTAAGTGGTACCATTTCATAGACATACAGTAGCATAAATTGTCTTGTGATTATCTTATATAAAAAGGTCTTTTGCGGAGACTAGTTTTGTTCTAGTTTTTATGTGGTTTTATCAAAATTAGGACAAGCATTTACTTTAGTTTAAACCCTTTAGTGGAATCTCTAAATAAGGTTTGAAATTTGAATATCCACAAAGAATGCGGTACTTTTAGACGTCCAAAAATATAAGGAATTTTTGTAACACTTATATCTAATTAATCCTAATTGGATTAGTAGAATAGTTCTATTTCTTTTTGAAAGAGACGTTTTACCATATTATTTATTTATGATTTAATTTCACATATATTTTAAGCAACTGGAAATATTTCTTTGAGGATCACCTTTAAAGTCTAACTTCTGAATAGCTTAAAAACTTCACTGCAAATTAGGCATGGTGGCGCACACCTGTAATGCCAGCATTCAAGAAGCTAAAACAGGAGGATCACTGCGAGTTTGAGGCCAGCCTGTGCTATACATTGAGTTCAAGGCCAGCCTGAAGTACACAGTGAAATCCTATCTAAAAAAAAAAAAAATACACACACAAAAACCAAAAAAACTTCACTATGGTTATCCCTGATTACTCAGGGGAAGTGGTTCCAAGATCCCTATGTGGATACCAAAATCCAAGCATGTTCAAGTCCCTTATATAAAGTAGCGTTTACATATAAACTATACAAATACTCTTGTATACTTAAAACCATCCTTACATTAGTTATATATAATACCTAATACAACCTACAAGACATGTAAATACCTGTTTACTGTATTATTTCGGAAGTGACAAGGAAAAAAAAAGATTGTACATATTTAATACAGAAATACCTTCTTTTTCACAGTATTTTTAGTCTGTATTTGTTTGAATCCAAAGATGCCAAACTCAAGAATACGCAGGGTTAACTATATAACCAAAAAAATACCTTACAAAGTAATAAAAAAACAAACAATCCTCAGAAAACAAAATCAGAATAATCATCTTAATTCATCATACTGTTATTTAGGTAGGACTACCCTCATAAAATATACCTTCTTAAAACTATAAATTTATCAAAAAAACTTAAAATAGAATAATTATTACAGTTTGACTTATAAACATCCTCCAAAGGCCCATGTGTTGGAAGTAGGTGGGCTCAGGTGAGTTGAAGTGAGGTCATTGGAGGGGGTGCCCTTGAGGGAAGACTGGAACCCTGGTGCGCTCGCTCTCGCGCTCTCTCTCTCTCTCTCTCTCTCTCTCTCTCCTTGTCAGCATTAAGTTGAGCAGCTATACTTCACCAAATGCTCTCTGCTTCAATACCCGCCCAAGAACAAAGAAGACAAGCAATTTCTAAGATCTCCTTTTAAATTGTTTAAATTGTTAAAAGTTTTTGTCACAGAGACAGAAAACTACTAATAATTATATCAGGGATCTAATGTCTAAAAATGTACATTTTCTCACATTATTCCATTTCCATTGCCAAATGCTTGGTCCTTGGGTTCCTGAACAGGCTGAATGTTCACATATAGGTCTCTGATCTCCTTTCTGATGCATCGTACAGCAGCCACTGCCATATCTTTTGCTACCTGTTTTGGCAATAACAATAGAAAACAATATGCTAGTTATTATTTGGACAGCTGTTTTCAAACTTAAAGACATATCAAACAATTAACTTTAATATGCATTGTTTAAAAATTTGATTTTCAAGACCAGAGAGACTAAACTTTTTAAAAATCTTAATGAAAAGATGGATTAAAAGATAGCTTTTTTCATTAATTTCAAACTGATGACATAAGATGACATAATACTTATCAAGACAAGCACAGATAATTAAAACATTTAGACAACTTACTTTAAATGGCAAAACACCAGCAACAAAAGCTCTTCCATATATTTTAGTCACAGAGCCACGATCAGTTAAATTTATTGGGTTCAACTGTTTAACTGGTGACATTCGAATGATCACTTCACCACCTCCTTTTGGGTAATAGCCCCTATAAAAGCATAACAAATACCCTCATAAACCAACTTCACAACAAAAATAAAGCTTAATATTACATTAAAATATTAATATTGAGCAGAAAATTTATGGAAGTTCTAAATAATACTTTAGGCCTGGGCTGTCCAATACAGTGGCCTCAAGCTACCTGGTACTATTAAGTATAGTTAACGGCTGGGGTTGCAGCCCAGTGGTAGAGTACATCCTTGGCATATGCAAAGCCTTAAATCTAATCGCCAGCACCAAGACAAATGTGGTGGCACTTTTTGTAGCCCCAACTATTCAAGAGGCTGAGGCAAGAGAATTCCTTGAGCCCAGAAGTAGAAAGCAGCCAGAGCCAGACAGCAAGTCTGCCTCCTCAAAACTAAAATAAAAATCCCCCCTAATATTTTTTAATAAGCAAGTAAAATTTAGAAACCAATTTACTAGTTATGTGAGCCATATCTCAAGTGCTCAACAGTCACATCTGGCTAATGACCATCCCATTGGACAGCATAGATAGAAACCATTTTCCTCAATCTAGAAAGCCCTACTCGACAGTGCTGTTTTAGAGTACGTATAAGTTCCTTATACCTGGATTTATTTCTTTCTGCTATTTTCCAGGGCCTAAGACAAGGTTGGCAATGGTAAAGAGCTCAAATAATTACCTGATGAATATTTAAGTAACTGAACACTAGTAACATTTTAACTCAAATATTTAGTATCATTTATTCTATTATAGATGCTGAAAATGACAGTGCTTCTACCCTGAAGGAATTCTCCATCTGGCAGGGAGATGATCTCACATAGTCTACCAGCATACAAGGAAGGGGGAAATACAGCAGAAGTGCAAAGCTGAATTCCAGTTAAGGCACACTCATGGGCAGTTCACACAAGAAATTGTGATTTTTTTTTTTTTTTAAAATAACATTTCCAACATTTAGGAGAGCAGGGGAGAATAACATGCAAAAATATGTGAAGTGCAAGGCACAAAGTACGTTTAAAGATCAGCAAGCAACCATGTAGTCAGAATATACAGCAAAGTGAAATGAGGGGAGGAGGGAAGATGAAGCTAGAAAGGTAAACTGGGGCAAGATTGCAAAGCAATGAAAAGGCGTGCCAAGAAATTTAACCCTGTAATTGTGTTACAAAAGGGAAATCTTAAAGAGAAAAAAACCTCAATAATGTGTTTCTTGAGAAAATAATTCTGATCGCACTGTGGAAGAGAATCGCTTACAACTCCATAGTGCCTAGTCCAGTGTCTACACACTGAAAATCATTTGATGTGTGCAGCTACATAATAAAACTAGATGTGTAGCTGCCTTCATGTCAAAATTCCCTTCAAAATATTTCTTCCTAATGGGCAATTAGCAATGTGAAATAGGAAGAAAAGGACCAAAGGTGTAGGGACAGTGAGAAGGATAGGGAAAGGGGAATAAGGGAAAAGGAAAAAAAATATGAGAAAATGTAAAAATGGAATTAAAGTGTTTGAAGGTGGGGAGGGCAGGAGGGGGTAAAGGGAGGTTGGGGAAAAAATGAGAACCAAGACCTGGCATGTAAAGGTACAAGATCCCAGTAATGAATGTAACTGTACTGTCTACCTAGAATGTACCAATAAATTCAATTAAAAAAATATTTCTTCCAAGAAACGAATATCGCATGTAGCTGGATTTAAGGCTTCACATCCCTAATGTTTATTGTTTTTACACAACAAAATACAATTTTTCCTACAAGAAATGTAAAATGCAATATATTAAGCATATAAGAACTCAAGTAATAGATCAAAAGGACAAGAAGTAACTTACCTCATTTTAATGTCACAATTAAATTTGAAACCAAATTTTTCAACGATTGGCTTGAAGACCTGAAAAATCAATTGTTACTTTAGCTACCAATATTCACTGTTTCAACAAGTGTAATTGTTTTTGTGGTTGTTTTTTTTATTTTTGGTACGTGGGATTTAACTTGGGTCCTTGCCCATGCAAGGCAGGAGGCGGAACCACTGAGCTAAAACCCCAGCCCCAGGAAGTATAATTGTTAAATGAAAAGTTTTCTGTATTTAGGTGCTACAAGTAAATAGGACATCAAGGACATATAGGCTAGATCCATTTTTCAAAGGAAAAAACTGGTATGTAGCTAACTTTTTAAGTTTTTAAGTTTCACATTTAGTTAATCAGATGTACAAGTCAATCAATTAAACATAATAATCAGAACTCAGGATACTTGATCCCAGTGGCTGTTCAACTCCAGAAGCCAATATTTCTTGAGCTTTATCAGTGTACTACTATACATTATAAGAAATTAGGGGGTATTGAGAAACAAACAAAATTACATTTTGTCTCCTCAGTTTTTAAATATAGTTGAAATCTCACTACATACACAATATTTTAACCCTTGGTTTTTTCATCTAATATTATAAACATGAGCATTTTTCTAAAATCATAAATTTCTTCCTAAATACTTGAATGACTGCATGACAACCAAGCATAATTTATTTAAGCTTTCTCCAAGCTAAATAATGATATATATTATATAATGGTAATCATAATTTATATAATGCTCTGCTCAAATACTTTTTTAACATTTGCCTTTTGCTTCATTTTGTAATATTTAATGAGGGTAATTTCCTTAAAGTGGAATTACTACTGTAAAGAGAGAAAAACTTTCACTATACATTCTATCACACTGACTTTCAGACTATACTATCCATTACAATGTCAATGCTTCACAGGAAGACAGAATCTAATCCTTAAGTCTAAGGCCTCTTCATATCCATTATAGATTTACTCAGTTCTCAGGGTTATCCCTCATGTACGCAACAGGTATATGTATTAAACTTTTGTACAGGTATACATGCTACACTTTTATATAGGTATAAACTTTTGTTTAAAAAAAAAAAAAGTAGGGCTGGGAAATAGCTCAGTGGTACAGCACTTTCCTAGCATACATTACCACCAAGGAAAGAAAAAAAAAAAACAGAAAAAATTTTAAAAATAAAAGGCGGAAGACCCAGGCATGGTGGCACACTCCTATAATCCCAACACTAAAGATGCAGGAGACTAAGGCAGAAAGATTACCATGAGTTCAAGGCCAGCTCGGACTATACAGTGAGACCCTATCTCACAAAAAACAAAAGCAACAACAACAACAAAATCTCGGTGGATATTTAGTGCTGGATAGGATGCAGAACACCTGAAATTGTTATGAGGTGCTGCTGAAAATATAAAACCATGTATGGATATCAGTTTCTCAAAAATTAGAGGTGTCCACTTACTATAAAAACCCAGCAGCCTTACTTCTAAGTATTTACCCAAGAAAAATGAAAATTTATATTCAAACAAAACCTGTACATAAATGGTAGTAGGGACTTTATTCATAACTGGCAAAAACTGGTTGCTGAAAACAATCCAAATGCTCTTCAACAAATGAATAGATAAACAAACTGGTACATTCATATAACAGAACAATTACTTAGCTTTTATTGCTAATACAAGTAACATTGTGAGTCTCAAGTTTATTGTGGTAAGTACAAAAACAAGGCTCAAATGCTAAACACAGTAGTATGCCTTCTAAAAATATGACATTCTAAAAATATAAATAAAGGAAGAACTAGAGTACGACAGAAAACAGATCAGTGGTTACCAAGGGCTGGAAGACGGGATTAACTACAAAGGGTCTGCGGAAATTTTTTAGAGTAACGAAACTATTACACATCTTAATTCTGGCTGCTGATTCACAGATGTATATGTTTGTCCAAAAATTCAGAAACTAGAGTGTATATTAAAAATGAAAATTTAAAGAATTATGCTAGAGAGGCCGCGGATACAGCTCAATGGTAGAGTGCTTGCCTAACAGGCACAAGGCTCTGGGTTCAATCAATACCAGCAGCACAAGAAAAAAAAAAAAAAAAAAAAAAAAAAAAACAAAAAAAAAAAAAAAAAAAAAAAAAAAAATCACACTACAATAAACACAAAGAAAAAAAGATCATACAGCTCAAGTATCCCTTGTGTGAAATTCCAAAATGTTCAGATCCAGAAGTACTCTGAGTTTCAGACTTTTCAGATATTGTAATATTTGCATTTGTATAATCAGAGATCTTGGGGATAGGATCCAAATCTACACATGAAATTTCTTTTATGTTTCAGAGATACCTTGTACACATGGCCTTAAGGTAATTTTATACAGTATTGTAGTACACCTTGAGATTGTAGTAAAATCCATCACATGAAATCAGACAGGGAATTTTCTCCTTGTGACAGTAAGTTGGTGTTCACAAAGTTTCAAGATGTGAGAGCATTTATATTTCAGATTTTCAGGTTAGGGATGGTCAATCTTAGTTGCTTGATGTCAGTATTGAATTTTATCTTTTTTTTTTTTTTGGTACTGGGGATTGAACTCGGGTCCTTGTACTTTGCAAGGCAGGCCACCGAACCAGTGAGCTAAATCCCCGGCCCCTGAATTTTATCTTTTAAAAAATGTTTAGTTTCTCTCCAAATCATACTTCTTGTATGACTGATAAATTATAACTGCACTCCAGATTTTTAAAAAAACTCATTGTGAATAGTAATATACAACACAAAAGCTAGACACTATGAAGAAATAAATGGATATATATATACAAAAATATTCAGGATATATACTTAAGTAGGGAATGAAGATGCAGAATGTGATGTTATCTCAGGCTGTCATTAACCAAGCCCTTACCATCACCGTATAGTCGATCTGTGGTGCCATTTCAGCATTAGTTCCACCTTTCAAATGAAGCTCTGACGGAGCAGCAGCGAAGAGAACACAAGGCATTGAAACCTGCATCAAGAGGCATACACTCCTAAGGAGAAGGTAGAATAGGCTTAACTGTACTGTCTTTTCAAGAATCTAAAAAAAGCTGTACTATTAATTATGCTTCAGTGTCTGAATGGTAAAATCCTGAATCTTAAAGAAAATATTTCAGTGAAAGTATTTCTGATAAGCCAACCAGGCTGACAGTACGACACCCAGTGACAAAAGCATTTGCCTACTCTCCTCAAGGCCCCAATTTGGTGCCTAATACCACAAAAAACAAACAAAAAATGTTAAAGAAATCTAGGTTTGAATTCAACACACTGAGTGAACCCTGGCTAACTTCTGACACTTTTCTTTATAGTACAAAGAAGTAAAAAAAATAAAAAAGTAAAGCATTCTTCAAATGTTTTTTTAAAAACGTAGTAGTTTAAGAAAGTAGTAGTTTAAGAAAATTGCATTCAAGACAATCACAATCTAAAACTATGCAACTGTTTTTATCTAAGCTGCTACCAGGCACAAGGCACTGTTCTAATTATTAAGTCAAGATACAGTTCCTAGCCAGGCACGGTGGTACACGCCTCTCATCACTGAGTTCCAGGTCAGGATGGGCTGTACAGTGATAAGGTCAGCCCGAACTACATAGTGAGACCCTGTCTAAAAAAAAAAGATACAGTTGCTATCATCATGGAATCCATGATAGCAAAGAATAATGTTTTACAATCTGAAGTTAAAAATATTTCATATGGAAAAGTTCATCCTTATAGTAAAAAAATGTGAGAAATCAGAAGAAATAATCACAAAACACGAAGTACTTTATAAAATGAAATATTTAATCAGTGTGCTATTAGCCCCCTTCTTCAAAGTCACAAGAAACAAACATATTCAAAAGTAAACTGTAGTTTGAAAGGGAATTTGATTAACTCCCATATACCAAAACACAGATCTTAACTGTCTTTTGACACATTAACTGAATATGAAAGTCTCTATCACTGATAATTTCATTTTTCAATAAATATTTATTAACTGAAATGTGTTTGGTATTGGAAGAGAAAAATGTAGGCAATATAATCCTTGTTCTCAGAGAGTTGGGCCAAGGAGCAAGTGAAAAATACTTGGAAATGTTTGTTTTACTGTAAGCCAGAGCTTTGTAACTACAAATGAACTTGTTTATCCCTTCTGAGTAATCTAATATATGAAGTATTTCCTCCCTCCCTCCCTCCCCACCTCATTTTTGGAGACAGGGTCTGATTATGTAGGTAAAGCTGCCTTGAACTCATTATGCCCAGGCTAGCCTCCAACTTGAGGAGCTCCTCCTGTCTCAGCAACCCTGAATGCTGGGATTACAGGTGTGCACCACCAGGCCCAGCTAAAGTATTTATTTTCCCTCCAATAAAATCAGATTCTAACAATAGTAAAAGCTGGTTACAGTGGCACATGTCTGTAATTCCAGCACTCTGAAGGCTGAGGCAAGTTTGAGCCCACCCTCAGGCAATTTAGCGAATTAGCAATATACTGTCTCAATGAACTAAAGGAAGGAGGGAAGGAAAAAGGGGGGGGAGCACAAGCAGGCAGGCAGGAAGGAGAGAGACAGACAGACTTCAAGCTGGACATAGTGGTACACTTTTGTAATCACAGCTACCTGAGAGGTTTAAACAGGAAGAATGAAAATTCAAGGCCAGCAGGAACAATTTAGGGAGACTCTCAAAACAGTATAGGCTGGAGATAGTTTCTTGGAAGAGCACTTGACTAGCAGCACCACAGAAGGAGAAAGGGAGGGAGGGGCCTCACACTACACCCATGATAAGATGTCAGATATAGTAATAGCTACAACTGAGCTATTAAACAGTCAAACTTTTATATTCATTATCTTTAACCTGCAAATGTATCTTTTTCACATTTTTAAATTTAGGAAACTAAAGCACAGAAAGGTTAAGCAACTTTCCCAATAAGGTATAGAAACTGGATCTGACTCTAACTCCAAAACTTGAATGACAGGTAAATGATACATACCCTGCTGTCTTGGTATCTGCTGTGTGGACTCCACCTTTGATCTTCTCTGGTGTAAAGGTTATTTCTGTTGAGCCAATTTCTGCCCCCTCCAGTTGCCCATCACACAAATCTCGAATCATTTCCAGTCCAGATAAATGTTGAGGCCTTCAGGTCATAATACTACATCAAAATGTGTGCATTCAGACTGCCTATATCCTCACATTTTATGATATTTACACAACTGCAATGGCAAGCAAACAGCAAGGTCTAAGCACAGTAGGTGTTACATCTCCAGTACAAGGGCTTCCTTTTGGGGTTTTAAACACTTAAGACTACTAGTAGGCACCATTTAGAGTTCCTTTGAGACCAGTTATTTTGGCTATAAAAACACACACTGATGTACTTTTACAAATGAGATGTGTACAAAAGAGAACTGGTGAAAGTAGGGGCTATAAGTCTTGCTTGTATCTCACTGTATAATCTACTGTAACTGTTACGGCCTGGATTGGGTTTCCCAAAAATTTATGCTGAAGCCCCAATCCCCAGTATGTTAGAATGTGATTATAACTTCAAACAGATGGAATTAAGTAAAAAGGAAGCCATTAGAGTAAGCCTCCATACAACCTTACGGGCACCTTTGTGAAAACAGACTAGGATGTTGAGAGCGACATCATCAGTGGTAGGGTGCACAGGGAAACCACCTCGATTAAAGGCAGCAAGAGGACGTTCATCTCCCAGCCAAAGGAAAAGGCCTGGAACAGATGTTTGCCTTGTAGCCCTCAGAGGAAACCAATGCTGTCAGCACCCTTACCTTGGACTCAGCCTCTGGAACTGTGTAAAAAACTGTCTATTCTTTAAGCCACCCAATCTGTGATATTCTGTTACGGCTACGCTAGCAAACCAGTAAATACCTAGCACAACTTTAATGAGATGGATTTCTCCACCGGTGTACTGGACTTGCTGCCAACAATTGCTCAGACAAAGGAGATTAATGGTCATCCTATGGATATACTGCCTTTTTACGATTTCAAACTGTGGATAAAAGAACAAGAAATAGCTCCTCTCAAAAAATGGAATACATATAGAATACATAAAAAGGAATCATTTTGGCCTCAACTTAAGTCTTCATCTAACAGGTGCACCTAAACTTTTCTAGCAGCATGCGCCGCTTCCCTGACAGAGTTAAGGATCTAGGCATTCCCTCTCCACAATTGATAATTCTGGCCATATTCAAACCTTCCTAGAAATCTGAAATTGAAAGCTGAAATAATGCCTCTCAGATTCCTCTCCTGTTCTATGACTGGAAAATGTGTGGCAGCACAGACTGCACTGGTTTAAAAGAGGGATTTTTCTCTGGCCTTTGAGGTGGTTCTGCCCTTACCTATTTAATCCACAGGGGTGTGCCTGGAATGCCCCAAGAGATGGGAGAGCATTTTCAACAGAGCTTTTTTGTTGTTTGTTTGTTTGTTTCCAAGAGAGCTTTTTAGCAAATGAAACAACTACAGCCAAACAGAGAAAATCCGAGCCTCTTTCTATATTTGCTCCTTAATGCTTCCAAGATCGCATTATCAAGCCACGGCTCAGGCAGAATCCGGGGACCAAAAAGGAGGCCTGAGGGCCGCTCGCCAGGACTAGCCCTGAGATCTCCCAGCCACGACCAACCCGGCCCAGATCTCCAGGGCTGCAAGGCTCTGACTCGCGATCCCCCGCCCCGCGCCCTCCAGGACCCCGCCCCACGGCCCGCACCCGGCTCCCCAGTCGCCCCGCTCACCTCAGACCCGGAGTGGTGCGGCCCGCGCGGATCTTCTGCACCCGCAAGGGGAGGCCCAGGAGACAGCTCAGGGCCGTGGAGACCCTGAGGATCTGGCCGCCCTGCAGGAGCGGGGTGTGGGGAGAAGAGACGTGAGAACATCCCCACTACCAGCTGCGCGTCCCGGCCGCTGGGCCTCAGCCCCACACTCACCCCCTCCAGGATCCCGCCGTCCACCTCCACCCGCGGCCCCGCCATGGGGCGAGTCCTGGGCCCTGGTCCGCAGGGACGACGCCTCTCTGCAGCGCGAGAAGAGGTGTTGGCTCCCGCCCCCGCAACGCTGAAATCTCGGCCCACACTCAGGCCGCAGGGCTTAAGGAAAGAGAGAAAAAGAGAGGTCACCAGAGTACCCCGACCCTGCCACTGAGGTCCCAGTTACCCAGGCCCGCAGGCTCGGGCAGTCACTGAGCATGCGCACCGTCGAGTTTGCGCTGGAAAAGGTCGCAGCCGGACCCGGAAGTGGGTTCCAGTTGCGTGCCGCTCTGGAGGCCGTGGGAAACACAGGCTAGAACACAAGATAGACCCGCAGGTTGCGCAAGGCCTTCGTGCCTTTCTAACTGAATCTTCCTGTTGTCGCGCAGGCTTGTGCTTTATCTCTGTTTTATCCAGGATTGTGCTGCTGTAAGAAAAGTCCAGGTGTGCAAAGAAGAGTAAGGCAGTTAATACATAGGTATTAGAGGTGTAATGTGAGGAATGACAATGAATTACAATGTCATCCACAATAGCAATAATTAATACGTACTTATGGGTTCACTGGGGCAACAGTTACAATATGATAAACTGTAACAATAACAGCCAGAGTTTATTGAGTGCTTAGCGGCTTTGCACCCTTCACCACATTCGTTCACACCCAGATGAATTCAAGTGTTTTGCAGGTTTTAGTGGTAAAGTCACACAGTGGTTAACTAACAGATTGGGAAATGAACCGGGGTAATCTGATGTACATATCACTGTCTCCTTCTCTTAGTACTTTTCTTACAAAATGCTCTGGGAACACAGAGACGGTATAAGATATTAAGCAGGGCGGTAATCCTATTTATTTTAGATTGATGACTTGGGCAGTATGAGAATGGTGAATAGAGGCCCAACAGCCGGAGGGGAGGAATGTCAGTGATGCAATTGTCTAGGCAGGAGACAATGAAAAATTGAAGTAAGGCAGCGTCAGTGGGTTTGGAGTGTAAAAATTGTACTCTCATCTCACATTGTAGTCTCATCAAAGGAAACCTCTGAAGAAGGCTCATCCTTTGTATTATTTATTTACTTCACTGCTGGATATTGAACCCCCTCTTTGCACACGCTAGGCAAGCACTCTAGCCCTGAGAGCCCAAGCCTGGCTTTCCCTTTTTATTATTTTGTTTTGGTATTGGGGATCAAACTCGGGTCCTTGCGCTTATGAGGCAGGAGCGGAACCACTGAGCTAAATCCCCGGCCCTTCCCTTTTTAATTTTTGATTCTCATTATGAGTTTCTGGCTCTGGCCCTTTCCCCCATGCCCCCTACTTTCAATGGCAGGGAAAAGTGAATAAAATGGCAATATGATATAAAGATCAGCCAAGCCCAGGATTTAGCTCAGTGGTTCCACTGTCTGCCTCGCAAATGCAAGGACCAGAGTTCTATCCCCTATACCAAAAAAAAAAAAAAAAAATCAGCCAAGAGAGTAGATAAGAATAAGCATTTATATAGTGCTGTGTTAAAACTGTGCTTGATGTTCTTGTCTCTTTTTGACCAGTAAGGGAACCAGGCCTTGAGAATTTGAGAACTGAAGTGACATTCCAAGATGAGGGAACAAGTAAGTGGCACAGTTGGGTTAAACCCTGGGTCTTTTCAATTTTCTACAAAGAAAGGGCTTTCTGATACCAGATTCTTCAACTGAACAGTGGCAACTGAACAGTGGAAATAAAAAACAGTGGACTCATACAGCATTTTCAAACTCCTGCATGACTGACAATAGCCATCAACTTAGAATTGAATATCAGGTAAAGTTATCTGTCAAAAATAAGGGTGAAATATAGAAATAAAATAAGTTCAGATATATAGAAACTGAATTTAACATCCATATATATTTTCAAAAGGAATTTTTAAAGGATCTGTGCATTGCAGAAATAAAAATTAGCCTAGAAGGAAAATTAAAATATAAGAAAAAATGAACTAAGAAATTGTAAACATGTAAGTGAATCTAAACAAACATAAGATAATACCAAATAAGAAAGTCAAAAGTTAGATTTCAGGGCTGGGGATTTAGCTCAGTGGTACCACGCCTGCCTCGCAAGCACAAGGTCCTGAGTTTGATCCCCTGTACTGCCAAAAAAAAAAAAAAAAAAAAAAAAAAAATTAAAAAAAAACCCTATTTTCTTCAACAAAGGAACTGCAAGAAAAAAGTGATGGTGTGAAGTTAGCTGGATCTTGACTTAAACAATTTGTGAAAAACAAAGACTTATGGATGATACTGTTGAGTGTTTGTAGGATTACAAAAAGGAAAGGAGAGAAGTAATAGCCCTATTTACACTAAAACCATTAAAGAAATCCAATAAGCCAGTAATTAAGAGGGAAGTGGGATAGGAAACATGGCCCGAGGGTCACTGATAGAATGTACCCCGTTTTCCGGGAGTAGACCATCTTATTCTCATATAAACTCTCCCAGGTAGTATGAACAAGATAAGCACACCAGTTCATTTTATAAGCACACCAGTTCATTTTATAAGACTAGGTGACTTTGATGCCAAAATGAGCAAAGATGACATAGGGATGAAAAATCATAGGCCAGCTTTATTTATAATCCAGATGCACCAGTTTCCATCAAAATATTGACAACCAAATTCACCAATATTTACAATATATGATGACCAAGGTGGGATTGATGATCACTGAACATTTGAAAATTATGATCTATCAACAGACGAGGAAAAACTATTGAAAAGAAAATCCAAAATGTGCTTATTGGGGTGGTTTCCCACACATTGAGATTCTGAGTAATCAAGTCTATAAGTTAGCCTCCCAGCTTATTAGGGCAAAACTGATCCTCGCCTGTTCCATTTGCCTCAAATCTTACATTTCCTCAAGTGGCAAGTAAATCAAGGTTCTATGTGCGTGACAGTATCGATTATGCTGGGTGGCTGCATAAAGGTAATACTACGTTATGTTACGTATCCTTGTTCCCCTTTCATGAAAAACAAACCGAGAGCCGCTTTTGGAAATCAGAAATGCTGACTTAAGAAAGCCAGTCGTTGGGAAGTGATCCCCCGTGGGCGTCTGAAACAAATACTGGCGAGGAACCTTTCCGCAGAGTATAAGAACTGTTCCATTTTTCTGTACAGAACAACTCCAAGTTGTACAGTTACAACTCCAAGAAGGATGTTTGCCTGCTCGCCCCTCAGGTCTTCAACCTAACTTTCTCCAAGTGAGTGACCTTTCTCTGTGCGCCCTTAACACTCTCTTTTCCCACTTCGTGGACCAAAAAGATCTCGTTTGCTTCTTAGTTACCCAGTGCCAACTTTGCCCGCAGAATTTAGATCCTGCCGCGACCCCGCCGCCCTTCCCCAAGGCTCGCCCGCATTCCTCCTGCCCCCACGGCCCGGTGGCTCGGCCGTGCAGCTCCTGATTGGCTGCGGGGTGGGAGGCTCGCTCCTCTGCTCTGCATTGGATCCCACGCGAGGCGCGTCAGTCCCCCGCCTCCAGATCCGGGTCCAGCGGCGAGGTCTCTCCCAGCTGCGGTGCGGTTGTCATTTCCGGAGAAAAATGGCTGCAGTGCGAATCCTGAGGACCTGGGGCCGGAGTGCTGGGCGGCTGGTAAGCAGCTTGGGGTGGATTTGAGATGGGCAAGGAGCGTTGTGTTCAGAGTTGTGTAGGAGCCGTGTCTTGTTTTCTCCCGCGAGTGTAGCGTGTCTGGGGACGCATGATGGAGAGGTGGAGGGATGCGTGCGACCGGCCAAAAGCTGGAGAGGGCGCCAGTCTGGAAATCCACGCCTTCCCTTGCCTGGACACATTTCCTTCTGCCGTGACTAGGTTGCCCCTGCTTCTCTGTACACCCTGAGGCCCTGCTAGTCCTTCACTTGGGGCCTTTCATTGAGCGTCTTCTAGATGCCAGATGTGGTGTTAAGTGCTGAGCAAGCAAAGGTGCATTCATTCAGCATTTCCTGAGCATCCGGGTACTTGTAATACAAGCTGTGATCCCTGGGGATTTACAGTCTAGAACAAAATCAGTGGACCAAAGAGGATCACTGTACATTCATTCTTACCTTGTAGGAATTGACAGTTTGAACTTCACTCTTTTTTGGACAGGGTTTTTCTCTGTCTTCCAGTCTGGCCTTGAGCTCACTACTGTATATAGCCTAGGCTGGCCTTGAACTCGCGGCAGTCAACCCGCTTCAGTCTCCCAGTGCTGGGATTATAGGCCTGCGCCACCACGCCTAGCCGCTTCTGTAGGAGTTTACTCTGTTCCTGTGTCCGCACCACAAAGTATTTGATCATTTATCATTGATCCCCTCCCCCCATTTCACCTGCAGTCTTTTTTACAGTCTTTCAGTAACAAGAGCAAACACATCCCAGTAGTAGTATTTCACTCCTTTTGCTCACCTGTTTTTCCTCCCAGCCCCGACTCCTCCTTTTCTGTAGTTGTTCCTGTGGTGGTCAGCTCCATATCCTATGAAACTTTTCAAAAGCCTCTTTGTACCAGATACTGTGGCAGACACTGGGGATGCAAATATAAGACAGACCAGCACCATCCCTTCCTGCCCAGAGATCGCAGTCTTGCAGAGAGACCAGGGGAGAAAAAGGCAGCAATAGCCATTAAGCAATGACAACTGGGCAGGAGAGATGCTGTAGTGAGCATTGAGCTATAGGATGGGGTGTCGTGAGGGCAAGTGATCTAAGGCACCAGATTCAAGAGCTGTAGATAGGGCTGGGGATTTAGCTCAGTGGTGCCACTGCCTGCCTTGCAAGCTCAAGGTCCCTAGTTCGATCACCACACCCCCAAATGGATTTAAGAGCTATAGGATGGACATCTATGGGGGCCTTCAGGTCAGAGAAGTCAGAGAGGATACTGATTAGCCTGAAGTTTGTGAAGGTTAGGAGGTAACCAAAAGAGAGCTCCTGTCAGTAACACCATACTGGGTATTGGCTCCCTTCTTTAGGCTTTCCTGATACTCGATACCCAGTATTCTTCCAACATCTTTGGCCACTGTATTCCAATCTCCTTTCCCTACACAATTTTTAAAAACAGACATATGGTCCAAAAGGATGTTCCAGTCAGTCATAACATAAATTATAATGGAGCTGAAAATTCCTATTCTCCAGTATGTTTAGATGAATGGATACACAGATGCCACTGTGTTATGGTTGCCTACAGTAACACATATAGGTTTGAACACAGGAACAATAGTCTATACCACACAGCTACATACATAGTATGTAGTCGGCAGTGCCATTCTGTTTGGTATGCATTTAT